AGGGAAGGAGGGGAGATGACAGACAGAGATGAACACATACCTGTACACACACAACACGAACACGAAGCGCGAGACAGACGCGTACACGCACCCCCACCACATATACTTGGCACACTACCTCCCCTGGCCCGGGGGAAGTATACAAGCAGGGTGTCCCCTCGCCCGGGGGACATATACAAGCATGGGCAGCCCCGCGCCATCGGGGTGAAAACGGACTGGCATTTTTCTCCGAAACCCAGGGGTAGCCAAGGGAGACCTTGGTGAGCCGGACTCGCCGCCCTGGTCTCTGCCTCGTTTTGCAGGGCTGCTAGACCGTTTCCATGGATGCTCATGCGTTCATAGGAGACGCTTGATGAATGAATGAATGAATGAATCGAGAAGTCGAGTTGTCGGCGAGGATACCTTGGCCGCATGGGGGCCACATGGCAATCGAGTCTTAGCGCCGATCTGATGGTTCTGTCTACCTCAATTTGTCTGCGCGTCACGGCTCTCGTCTTCCTTATCTTCGCGACGGCACCAGCCTCTCCCCACTTCGTTGACCTTTCCGAGACCCCTTTCACCAAGTGCCCCGGCGGAGACAAGGTAGAGTGCAGCGATGAGGGGCTGGCGCTTCAGATAAAGAAGAACAAGATCAAATGTCGGCCGTTCACAAAGGAGACAAACTAGACATCACCGATTGAGCAGGGATATCACCATGTCATTCCCAAGGTTTGGCGGCTGCTCCCGGCGACGTGTTGTCTGATTATCAGATGGGTCAATTATCACGTACCTGCAGAGCTTGATTGTCGATTGGTGGGACCTCCTTGTTTGCTCATCAGCCCACCTGAAGCTGGCCACCCCGCTGATCCGAAGGTGAGTGGGCAGGCGGAAGGGAGGGAATGAAGGAACACGACATACGAATGAGTCTCTGTCTGTCTGTATGTATGCCTGTATGTATGTATGCCTGTATATATATGTTGGTGGCTGCAGTCTCATCGATCACGCAGAAGGCAAGTCCTATGGTTGAGAATAAGTCCATGTATGTTACAGCCATCCTCTGATAAATGCAGGCTACGCGTTCGAGAGTCCAGTCAAGCCGGATCATGTCTCAGCGTGGCAGAACTGGCTGGAAGACATGCTGGAGGGTCGCACAACAGAACTGGAATATAGCGGCAAGTTCGCGTACAGCCTGACCTGGATGCCTGGTAAGCTCTCACACTGTGTGCGTAGTGAGGAGCGGCGGCTCCACCTCTTGTTTGCTCTCCAATTCGCTGTGTACGCAGGTAATCTCGTTCGCGGGCCTCCCTCTGGCCATCGCACACATGACCCTTCGAACTCGTTCGACCACAAGGTATCGTGGCAACGTGGCTGTCTACCTGGCAAGAAGGATAAATCAGTCCAGCCCCTTCTTGAAACCACATACGACGCGATGAGAGAATACTGCCAGGACGGAATGCGGGACACAGAGAGAGTCACCAAGGCAGTGGAATCTCTCGCCAAAATCGCGTCGATTGAAGGTGACGCGTCGCCGTTCAGGGAAGACCAGTGGTCCCATACTTCGAAGCCACGCACCTGGAAAAAGCGCAATGAACCTCAGCATGAATGGACTGCTCTGGGCAAGAAATCAAGGGAGCTGTACTTCAGAGACGCAGTCGCCTACTGCAATCACTTTGGCAGGTAAAGGTGTCTCTTTGCTGCTTTCTTGCTGACATAGATCGTGTCTGTCTGTCTGTCTGTCTGTGTCTCAGTGTGTTTGCCACTGAGCCTTCGCACGTGAGCGGCCAATTCAAAGGGAATTTCGTGCGCACGAGAACTGAGGTGGACGAGACGCGAGATGAGAGGGAACAAGAGGAGACTGGAGTCTGCTTTGACGGGCTGGACGGTTGAAAGACATCTGTAGGCTACGAGAGTTGAAGTTACAGAATCTTAGAGCACACGTGCACGCGGCACATGTCCATCTTGCCATCAGTTACAATAAGCCATGTCCATGGCCATGAAACAATCAGCCAGTAGTACCCAGCCAGGCAGGCAGGCAGGCAGGACATCCCTCTTGACTGGCAGCCAGCCAGCCAGTATGACCAGTCGGTGTGGCAGGCCTACGCATTCAACCAGCAGGAGCTCCTTGGTTCCTTTGTTCCTTGTCTAATTGCCAGTCAGGTCACGTCATCGAACATCAAGGCAGGTTAATTTGCTCTCTGCGAGAGTCGACTCGACCATCCATGCGCATCTATCTATCCATGTGCAATCAACACACACACATACACTCACGCATCGGACTTTGGTTCTTTTCCCATCCTGTGGCTATTGGTGGTGATAGGGCGAGCCTCGGTGGTGTGCCGTGTGTACTGTCGGCTGCCGTGTGGAGATGCAGAAAGTCAGCCAATCGAGAGTGACTGACCCCGTTCATCTCCATTCGGCATCGAACAGCACAGCTCACGACCAACAGGCTGTCCCAGCAACACTGTGCAGTGCATCGACAGATCACAGATCGACTCGTTGGCTCACAAGGTGACCGCCATCAAAATGGACTCACCACCTTCTCTTCCTCTCTGCTTGATGATCCACCCACAGCCCCTCCCCCGACCACACGCACATGGACTCACGAAACGACACGACACAACACAATATAGCACGCGACACGAAGACAAAGCAAAAATAAGCCAACTTCTTCAAGTGAAAGTAAGCCGCGCACTGGATCGGATGATGAGAACAAAATCGACACAGCACACTTTGCCCCTTTCCTTTCGCGATCGATGCTCTCTTATGTCTTCGTGTTGTGCTGTCTGTAACAAAACTCTTTGGAGTAGGTGACCCACAAAAAATAAGCAAACTAACCGCCCCCCCCCCCCC